CTTAGGGTTTAGGACTTAGGGTTTAGGGCTGTTATACAGGGGGAAATAGGGATATTATATGATATTATAGTATCAGGAATTAGGGGTGCCTTTAAGGGGGATTGTAGGGTTTAGGGCTTAGGGATTTACAGGGTTTAGGGTTTGGGGAGTCAAGGAATGTGGGGGGAAGGGGTACCATTGAAGGGGGGTTATAGGGGACATATGGGTGTTATATAAGGATTTATAGGGTTTAGGGTTTAGGATTTCTCAAAATTAAGGGATATTGGGGGGTTCCCAATAATAAGGACTCTAATATATTGGGGACTATATTGGGGTCCCCTTATTTTGGGAAACTACCATGTATATAAGCAACTAATATGCGAGGATATGAGGGGGTGGGGCTTACAACCCCTCGAACTTTCATCGTCTGCCTGACAGGCAGGAGGTTCTTGCCTGGGGTTTGAGGCCTAACCCTAAACCCTAAACCCTAAACCTTTAGAGGTTTAGGGAAAGTGGGGAATGAGTCCGTGTATAACCGAGGTTGCTTGTAAAGTCCACCAGGTTGACGCCACCAAAGTAATGGCCACAACTTGAAAAATGATGTTTAGGGTTTAGGGTTTAGGGTTAAGGGTTTAGGGTTTAGGGCTTAGGGTTTAGGATTTTAGGGTTTAGGGTTTAGGGTTTAGATGTGGAAAACAGCACGCTCCAAAGTTTCCCATGTCTATGACATACTGCCAGGGGTTTTCCTTCAAATGGTCATGGAATCCCCAGGAAGCTGAAACCCAAGTGTGTCTGTATTTTTTGGGGGTGTGGTAGGTTGAACTACTGCTACATCTATCCTAAAGTCTGTAAAGTATTATGAATATAGACTATTCGCGAGTACGCCGAATAGTGCTGAGATTTGGAGATTTGATCGCTCGAGGGACCTAAATGTGTCACAGACATGTTCGGATTCCTGTATAGACACTTGTAGCGCATGAGCACCAAGAGAAAAGTGCCCATGGCGTTATGAAAGCCCTGTGTCTCAACTGCAAACTTCTTCCGACTTAGTCTCTTTTCTGCTGGGCTAGGGCAGAGCGCATTGTCACACCAACCGCTGGTACAGCGGCAGTGCTGCACTTTTTTCAAATGCAGCGACTGCACGTACCTACTCCATGCAGCGCCACAGCAGACTTGAGCCTCGAAATCAAATTTAATGCCACGGCGTGTCAACTATGTTGCTTGGTAATATGGGGTCTAACTATTCAGAGAAGGAAGTTAGGCACCAGTCTGTCACAAAGCGGTAGTGTGAACAATGCACAGCTGCCGGTTGTCCCGCTGCTGCTATTTGGGAGCTTCCAAACTGAGTGGGCACAAACCTTAAACGCAGGACCCTAATTTTTGGAAACTCCGATTTGAAGTCTGAGTGCCCTTTTGCACGCAGGGACGGTCCCTGTGCAACCTGCCTTGACGCATAATCACAAGAGTAACAGCACTAGCTAATGATAATCATCACGCGAAGGGTACACGCGGTGTTGGAAAGCCAACCATGCCTGCAGCATCAATGTGCAACATGCTGTAAATGATGAACCAGCGGAAGCTTAACAATTGCGTTGAGAGATGCAGAACTCGCCCTGCCGAAGGTCTGGAAGCTATCTATCTCTTTGGATGCGATCGCCTACAGCTCCGACACGAAACCTATGCCATCCCTACCCTACATATACTCCGCTTATTGCTATTTGTTGCTTGTTGTATATCAGCTCAAAGATGATCGCAGGCTCTTGGGCACTCAGTAAAGCCTGGTACCGCTACGGCATTTGGCACGTCAGGGTCACCTCAATAAATCGCGAAGCCGAATGGATCCAAATGCCAGCTTTGGCACGGTTTCGCATTGTCCCGCAAGTCTGCAAAAGCTACAGATCTTGAAGCAGAAGACCTAACTTGAAGAGTGCCAGGGTAGGCAGTCATGGCTGGACTGGACGAAACCGTGCCGTGATGTCAAGGCATTCTAGACATGACTGAGCATGGGATTTCAAGCAGCTGGCTGTCCAAACCCATGTGGGCGCAGATGCGCCAACTGAAGGGTGTGGCTGCGGGGTGGCTGCGGAGAACACCTAAAGCAAGAGAGCACTAAAGTTTGCCTGCCCTTGGAAGTATGAGATCTTTGCTTCATGTACATGGAGTGTACAGCATCAGACAGGCACTGGCTCTCTGCAGCTTGGATTCCATGGCCCCCCGAAAGAGCGCCATGCGGGGCATACTTTGTAGAGGCTACTGCGCCGGCCCTCCATCACAATTTTATTTTGAGCACACGCACACATGAAGATGCCTGGAAGAGTCATCTTGATCTGATGATGGCAGCGGTATATGATGATGATGATCATCATCATCATCATCATGATGATGACGATGGCGATCAAAGAGATGAATCACATAGCAAGTCACTACACCATCATCGTCGCCGCCAGCATGCTCATGGTTATCGCCACCATATGCAGTGCCATTCTGCGTAACGACAGCATCAATGGCATAACAAGACTGCTCAATACGGTACTGCCTCGCGGATGGATCCTTGTATCCACTTGAAGGAGGACACGCAACAGCCGAAAGAAACTGCTCATTGGCAGTGCACCGTGGCGGATGGGTAGTGCGCCCGGGTGCGTGGCAATTATGGTTCAGAGGGCAGGAGGGACCAAATGCACAAAAACGCAGTCCGGAGCTTAATCCCTGATGATCTGCTTTTTCACCTCCCTCTCCGCAGCTACTATAGCCTACACTTCGTGCAGAAGCCAAAGCAGCTGTGGCCCTGCCAGCTGGGTACCCAACAAAGCACAGTCCAGCGCTGTGGTTCTTGCAGGACCTTGGGGACCCCCGGGATGTAAATCAGATCATCACCCCAATGTACTATAGTAGCTTCCATGTTCTTTTCCATTATCCCTATAACCCCCAATCCTCAACCCCAAACCCCAGGGGTCCCTCGGATCATGGCTAAGCGGGTCTCCATCCCAGACTCGGGCCTATGGACATGCGTCAGTCAAACCTCCCATGTGAGCGGCCTTCTGACAACATCAGAGGATGCACATAGATGCTGCAGTCAACTAAGAAGGGTAGGACAAGCCTTAGGGTATCAAGCATAGTTCTGGCTAACATAAGACTCTGAAAGCTAAGAGAAGCCATTTGGGGGAAAAATCATTAACCGTCTGGAGGTGAGGTCGTTGGGTCAAATAATTAGTGTGTCGATCGACACCAGCATGACCCGAAGTATGTCATAAAATCAATGTTCGGGGGTTGAAGTCAATGCCCGTCAGAAGTAGTAGCAGCAAAGCGCTTAGTAGGTTCTTATCTCGCCCACGAAAGCACGCTCGCAAGGTACATGCTGCATACATGCAGCCCCATCTCCCTCATGCATCAGTCACGTGGCGTTGCTGCTTTTCACACGACACCGACGGTGAATCAATCTGCGGTCAAGCGTATACATCTCCAAATGAGTCAAATGCTAGTTTTCGCCAAGCTCAGTCGCAAGACATGCCATGCCAAGGTCGATATTATACTGGAATTTCTGGCGGCCCTTTACCACAGTACCGGTCTGCAAGCTATGGACCTGACAGCTAAAAATCCAGTGCATTCGCAAGGCCAGTGCTGAGTGCCTGGAGGGTAGCACTGCTTGTGAGTCTGTTGCAACATGTGGCCGTAAGCCACGTGAATTTGGCTGCTTCCTTGAAGCTTCCGGATCTCTAAGCTTAAGCTGGAGGACACGAGCATCACTCCAGCAGTTTCTCAACATCCACAGGCTCTGCACGGACTTCAACAAAACAACCCAGCATCAAGAACATGCAGATTTTGCTTCAAAGCTGGTGACTGCCATAGTTACCATGTACAGCGCATGATCACTGGGGATCAGTTAGCACATTCTACCACATCACCATCACACCCCCATTGAAACAGAGAGCCTGGGAAGAGGCAACAACTGCCACGGAGTCTATTCCTCCCCAAACCTCCTCAGCCAGGGCTTCCCCCACCAAACCTGCGACTCTACCCCAGAATTACACAAAAAATCCCCCACTCCTCATTCAATCATCCTTACGCCCGTTGTGGAGGCTCTGGGTCAGTCACATAGAGCACGGGCTCAGATTTCTCGATTCCCTGACTGCGAGCTGCTGGTGACCGTCGAGGTCGACTCGGAGGGCCAGACGTCCTGGAGACGAAAAGTACACTGCAGGTTTAGGGTGTGAGGTAAATGGCTTTAGGGCTTGGGGAAGGGCGCAGGGTTAGAAGTCCGGGCTTAAGCTTAAGGGTTTCAGGTCAAGGCTCAGGGTCGAGGGCTTTGGGTGCCGGGTTTAGACTTGGTGCTGAGGGTTAAGGGTTGAAGGTTTAGGGCTGGGGGACTGTAGGCCTGTGGTTACCTGCCATTCCTCGTAGGGATCAGGATGGCCACCTCAAGGTTTGGGCCCCGTGGAAACCAGTGATTCGGGGTCTGCTTGGGGGATGGGACTGAAAATGGGAGATGAAACGGAAACTAGGGTTACCTAACGATAGCAGAGAGATGCAAATCGAGGAATGGAAAAGAGAATGGAAACTATCGTATTGTTGGGGTTTGCTTAGAAGAGGGGCTACTATAAGGATCCATTCCTTCACTCCTTGCTATCCAGAGGTGACACGCAGGGGATTGCGGAAAAGCTCCCATGGAAGCGCTGTCCTACTTGGAAGAAGGGTACTGCGCATTGTGGCAGCCGTTTAGCAGAAAATGCTTTGACAATATCAACCGCCCCCATGATGGCATTAAAGTCTTGGGCATGAGGGAGTTTGAGATACCCGGGTTCTTTATGAGTCGTCCCGATGATGTTTGACTGAGCAGCCTGCAGTGCAAAATAATGAAGAACATCCGTCTAAAAGACATGAAAATCCATCACTGCGAAGGGTTCAAAGCTTGGTCTTCCCTGCTCTCCCCAAACAGAACCAGGCACCGGGATTTAGGGTTTAGGCTTAATTCAAAGACGAACTTTAACAGCAGAAGCGGGGAAGAATTGGTGGGCCAAAAGCTCCTTGCCGCTCTTTGCCAGCCGGTGTCTGCGACTTTCTGGGTCAGGAACGTCGGGAATTTCCTCTACCTCGGGTGAGTCATGGTCACAACTAGGATTACATAGGGTTGATGTTGGAATATATAGGGGTTATGTGGGGATACACACACATATATATATATATATGATTACATCAGGCTTATACAGTGATACATATAAATATACATATATATATATACACATACATAACGGTCATTTCTAAGTATGGGTTTAGAGGGAAATGGAAAAGCAAGTGGAAACTACCATGGTGGAGAATCAATTGGAAAAGAAAATGGAACCTAGGATTATCTAGGGATGACCTTGAGTGGTTTGAGGTTATGGACACACGGCCGACAGGTGCGAGGAGGTCCGGCAAGGAAGATTCAAGCTTGAGTCCGATAGTTGGGGTAAATCTCTCTCCGTGTATAGGTATGCTGCAAGATCTACATAACCATGCATATACAAATGCAGGTATACTCTGTGCACGGAAGAGCTGCGCCACACTACGTCCCAGGATTTGCTCCATCAACAGTACGCATATACACCTCATGTTAGCGACGAATCCTGATAAGTAAAGCGACCCCCCTTTATGGAAACCCTTTCACGCATCTTGAGGCAAAAGGAACCCGCCCCAGGGCCCAGGCCGGCGGAGAGTAGAACTTGAGGCCCGGCTGAAGCGTCAGCGGCTCGGACCGGAAGCCCGGGCGCCGCTCCTGCGGCGCACTTGCGAAGGGGTTGGGGTTGGGCTTAGGGCTTCGGAGTGGGATGGGGATAAAAAAGTACCAAACCCATGCAAACCCCTTTGCGCTGCCGGTGCGGCAACTGCTACCTCGTAATCAGTGCTCAATGCAGTGCGCAAGTATACATCTTCTGGTCAGGCCCTGCGGGCAGGTTCTGCATCATTGGTACTGCTCTGCAGACTCTTGCGATCGAAGCTCAACCAAGAAGATTCGCCAAATTGGATCCCATTTCTGGGGAGATTGAATAATACTGTACTTCTATAGAATGGCAAATCATGCGCGTTTCTAGACAGAGCATTTAAGCCCAAATCTTGTTTGGAGTGTGGACTCTGGACGTTTCTGGTAGAACAACGGCACATGACGGCAACGACAAGTGAGATAAATGATAGTGACAGATATGGCGGCAAAGCAAACATTTGTGAAAAGAGCATGGACTGTGTGATACCAACAGCCTCTGAGGCTAGAAGAGCATCATTCAGGTTCCTTTCTCACTCCCACTGACCCTCCCAACCTTAACCTCCAAACCCTAAACTCCCATACCCTTAACTGCCCATCCAACATATCCTAAACCCCCCAACTTACCCTGCCCTAGCCTGAACCCTAAGCCCTAAACCCCTAACCCCTAAACCCTTCACCCTAATACCTAAACCCTACACCCTAACCCCGTGACACAACTGGGTTGCTGGTAAGGAACTTAAATTAAGTTACTATATTGGGGAAACCCTACTATTTACTATAGATATCCATTATGGTAACTTAATTTAAGTTCCTTAACAGCAACCCAGACAAGCCCCTATGATGGCCTGGAGCTTTGGCTTGCCCTGTGACGTGGACTCGGTCTTGGCTGCTGCCATCTTGGCATCCAGCAGCAACTGGCGCTTGCCTTGTCCGGGTCGTCACTTAGGGATTATATAGGGGTTATAAAGGGATTATATAGGGATTATATAGGGGCTATAAAGGGATTATATAGGGATTGTATAGGGCTGTATAGGGATTCTACAGGGAGTATAGAGGGATTACAGGGGTTTTATTGGGATTATATGGGGGTCCTGGATAATGGAAATGAAACTGGAAACTAATATGTAGGGTTTTGAAGGTTACGGGGTTTTGGCTTTGAGTTTTACGGCTTGAGTTTTGGGAGTTTAGGGCTCAAGGTTCGGGGATTAGGGTTTAAGGTTTAAGGCGTGAGTCTTTGAGGTTTAGGGTTTGAATCAAGATGTCAAGCTCTGGGTTAAGGGGTCTAGGGTAAAGTTAATGTTGGGTCATCCTCGGAAAGCAGTAGCATAGAAGGTACTACTTCAACTCTATGGCCCGTCCGGAAACCATTCAAGAGCTGTTGCTGGCACGCGGGCTGGCCCAATTCGTAGCAATGCCAGTCATGACAGACGGCAACAGCTTCTAAACAAGCATAGCACAATGGTTGTTCTTTCTCCACCTAGCTCCAAGTCATAGAATCCTTATCGCCAGGAACCCAATGCAGCCCTGTGAGTGTGAGAAACCCGCTAAATACGCCAGAAGGGACGAACATGGAAAAAACATGGAATGGAGAACATGCGAATTATGCGGATTGTGGGGGAATCATAATTTGCAGGAAGCACAGACCTTAAAGACAAAGCCATTTCTAGCTTAAACGCTCGCCAAGGCCAAGCTCAAAACACTAACGCTGTAATGGCGGCAGGGGCTCCAAGACGCTTGACATCGTTAAACTAAAACCTGCTGCTTGCTTCCTCTCCCAACAGCTGCGCTGCGCAGCTCATGCAAAACAGCTTTTCTGCCAGCGCCCAATACAAGATTGTTTTACATGTTGCGATCTTGCAGCTGTCCCTGAATTATGCCGCCAATAAACAATTTACCATCAACCCAAACACTCATCTGCAGACAGGCTTCGGGGCGTAAGGAGCGTTGGTAGTTGATCTCCATCCTGACAAGGCGAAAGGTAGGTTCCCTGAATAGGGGAAGCCCCCATATAGACCCCAGTATACTATAACCCTTATTATGGGGACCCCGCAAAGGTGCGCCTAATCCTGTACCCCTAATTTTGGGAAACCCCTGAAAGTCTTGAGGCCAAGCTGGAGTTCAGCATACCGCATGCTCAAATTATCCTTGGCCCGTGTGCGGGGAGTGGATGCCTGTATGAATCGTCCCATGTTAGCCCAATGTTCATACCTATAGTGACTTCCCCACTCTCCCTGAAGTTGCTTAAGCCTCTGATTTTTGCTTGCCCTGCCTCCGCCGTGATGTCCGGCACTGGAAGGGTTGCCTTGGCCATGGCGATGAAGTCGACGGATACTTTGATGGGGCCAAAAGCTGCGGCGAGCTGAGGAATCATCTTCGGGTTCGCGAGAATAATAGTAAAAGTAGTAGCCATAGTAATAGTAGCATATAGTAGTAATAGGTATAATATGATCGTAGTCGTATGATAAGGTCGTACATTGAGAGTTGGAATCTTGAATTGCATGGCCATGAATGTACGGGCTACTCGACTACGATGATTGGGTTATGAGATTGGTACCACTACTAGCAGAGGTACTTTTGCTACTGCTAGCACTGCCATAGGCGCTGCACATGTTGTTCCTGATATGACAACCCCTGAAAGCACACCGCGTTTCAAGCATGAATGCGGGTATCAATTCTTGCACAGCTGTCACAACAGCTGGCCTCTTTTCTGGCAAGTCCTCCAGATGCTGTTTAAGATCCCTCAAAAAGATACTGAAAAGTCGCCAAGGCTAAGGCAAAAAGCTGCAAGTAAACAAGGGCTGCATCCAAACACCATGCAGCATAGATGGCTGTGCGCCTTGTCGTTTCCTTCCCAACCTGCACTCCAAGGCGGTTGGGGGGTGGGGGGCACGATCTGTCTCTTCAAAAGAAAAAAAAGATTCAAAACTTCAATTTGGCATATGGACGTGGCAGTTGCATGTTCCATTTCGATGCATGTTCCATTTCGATGCATGTTCCATTTCGCGGCTGGTCCTTTTGCATGCCCGACCCTCTTCTTGAAGACGGTAGATACAATGGGAGCCCAGGCATAAAGTTTCGTAGACAGGCTTCTTGCTGCCAGGGATTTAGACTGCTGTTTGCAACCGCCCTTACAGCTTGCAGGACAGAATGCCAACCTTGCTTGCACTGCATTATGACCCTAAACCCTAAACCCTAAACCGTAGACCCTAAGCCCTAAACCCTAAACCCGTAAACCCTAAACCCCTAGACCCTAAACCCCTAAACCCTAAACCCTAGGTAATGGGGCCTTCGTTCACCTCCAAGGCGCGCAGGGCATCCACATCGAGACCAGCAAGAACCTCCAATCTCACCAAGCGCGGCAATCGCAACAACCAAGCGGAATAAGGGGCATTTCTTAGGTGGACCCCCCCACCCAGTAATAGTGACTATAAGGGATACTAGGGATTATATTAGGGTCCTCTTATATTCCTATTATTCCACTATTACAGGGTGGGGGGTCCTCCTAAGGCATTTCTCCCATGGCGAGTAACATGGCAAGCACATGACTTTCTGAACATAACATTACAAAATCAACGAAAAATTCTGGTAGCGCCCCGTAATAATGTGTACTTCCCTATATAAGCATATAAGCCCTCAGTATGTGGGGGTCCTAGAGCCCCCCAAAGAGCCTCCTCTTCTGAAGCCGACTGTCCAAGACGGAGCCTAAGAATGGACAAGTCCCTCCCCAAACTAGCAAGGGTTTAGAATGGTTTCGCAGCATTCTTTGGGTTTAGGGTTCAGGGAAAGGGGTTCAGGGTTTGGGGGATAGGGATAGGGTTTATGGTTCCTGGTTTAGGCTGAAGGTTTTGAGTTGCACGATGTGGGGCTTCTTGCTGCGCAGCAGCGATGAATGTAGAAATGGCACTCCAACACACCAAGGGGAAAGGGGGCGACATGGTTGACTCTTCCCACCCCTGCGTACGCAGACATGCACCCAACTTCACTCCTTTCCAATGCCGGGCTGGCGCCCCAAATTCCTACTTTTCGAGAGTTGAAGGTACAGGGTTGAGCGTTGATGGCTTAGGGCTGAGGGCCCCCAATCCCCACCCCAATAAGAAATGTTCGCGATAAATGTCCGACTTGGAGATTCATGGGACTTGGCAAGTACTTCAAACTAAGGTTTCAAACCTACATATTTCTAGGTTATAGAATCTGAGGCTGGTCGGGATTATGAGTAGGGTTATAATCCAATTGTAAATAGTTGCTAAGTTCTCAAGTTCCGTGGGTATCTCTCACTAGGACCACAGGGGACCTAAAGAGGGATTGGCAACTGTATGGAGAGGGATGAGTATGCGGATGTGCACTTTAAAGCACGTGAGCTATAGTCTAAATTTCTAGTATCTAGCATCCCCCTTGATAAGCCGTATAAGACTCCCCTATGTAATCGGGAGCCACTATATATATACACCCTATAACCCCTATATAACCCCTATATAACCCCTATATAACCCCTGTATAACCACTATAATCACTCCGCTTGCAGGAAGTAGCTCCCGAGTGTCTTGCAGGGGATGGCTGTCAGCAAGCTGTGACCGTTGCCACCTGCAAGGTCAGGAATTGGATTACTAATTATATTACTTAGGAGGACCCCCCACCCTGTAATAGTGGTATAATAGGAATATAAGAAGACCCTAATATAACCCCTATTATCCATAATAGTCACTATTACTGGGTGGGGGGTTCACCTAATATATTACTACTGTAATTATTGCTGTGACTACAACTGGTATTAGTACTTTAGCATTATTACTACTATTATTACTAATAATGTTGCTGTTTTGAGTAATCGGAGTTCAGGCTGACCCAATGATTCCGCACAGTTTTTGAACTGCCACCCCTGTTGCAGCTGCGAGGTCCGAGCAACCAAGCCTCGAAATGTAATCCACTGACTGCAGCCTTCCATGTCCCAGAATCTCTGGATTCTCTGGGCAACCTGAAACCTTCATCCCAAGCCCATCCCAGCAACACAGCTACAAGTCGCAGCTCGCACACCTCAGCTTGGCCAATGCCTCCGAGGCACGCCTAGGCAGATAGGAGATGATAGGAGGGCAAGGCTCACAGTTTTTTCAAGTTGAGGATGCAGACTTCTACGGCCAGGGGCCAGGATGCATCCTGCAACGGATCTATTGAAGGACTGAAGGTTCTGGTGACAGGTTTGGGCCCCTGCTCTACGGCAACGAAGGCCTTGGCTTTGAAATCTCTGAAGCATGCGGTACAAACCAGCTTCCGATTTTGGGTGGCTGATTCTCGCTGCAGAGGTCCAACATGTCTATATGCACGCTTCAGCCCTAAACTTGGGTTGCCGCATGGGCAAAATCAGCATTATGCCTTCTACTAGGCCGGCCTCCCAAAAAAGGAATACAAAGCGATAGCTCTTGAAGTTGCAAAAGTTGAGACCAATAAGGAACCAAGCCTAAAGCCTAAACCCTAAAGCATAGACCCTAAACCCTGAAGCCTAGACCCTAAACCCTACACCCTATCTGCCACTGAGGGCACAGCAGATAACGGCTTGCAGCTTCGGTAAGTGCTTTGGGCAGGCTGGCCCGCCTTTGCTTGGGGTTTAGGGTGTAAGGATTATACAGGGGATATATACGAATAATGGATAAGAAAATGGAAGCTACCATTTAGGGTTTAGGGTGTGCGTCTACTCTATAGACTGTGAGTGCTAGCGCTAGGGCTCAAGGTCTAGGAATTCGGCTTTGGGGGTGTCTTTTTTGGGGATGTTCCAGTTGGGGCTGCAGGAGACTACTGGGTTCAGCGTTGAAGGACTGGGTTGGACGGCAAGCTGGATATCAGCTTTTGAACGCTGCTGCCGTTCGGAAAATTTTCTACCATCAGGGTGCAGGGATTTAGTGCTTCCTCTACATGGTGATGGCCAAGTTCAGGCTGCCATTCTTGTTCCCCAACACACGCTTAGGATTTGAGGATGGAGCAGCAGCGGGCTGCTCCAATAAGAACCCCTCCATGATGTCTATGAAGCCCAGCTCTAGCGATCCAAGTATACAAATAATGCCAACATTGGACCCCAGAGCCTGTATCTGTGGTTCTCGGAACACTCATCTAGTGAGGACTCGCCCTCAGCTCCCTGATGCAAGTTTCAATCTTAAACGGAACAATTCTCCCAAAATGCCGATCTCGATGAATGATGATGCCAGGGAGCGTCAACTTGGATGGCAAGCGTGCCTTAGCGACACAAGGTCTGAAACAGATGAACACATGAGCCTTTCCTAGCATGTGGACCCAAGAGCACATTGCCCTTAGAATACGGACCCTGAACAGCAAAACAGCAGTTTCGGAGAAACCCTCTAGTGGCTCTAGTTGTTCGGGGCTTCTTAGCTGCCTCCCCACGGCCTGAGACAGTACGCTGCAAATTGAAACAAATGACGCTGGGGCAGCAAAAGCGTAAAGGTTGGGAAAGTATCGGGCGCAGCGAAAACCAAGGAGGACAGAGTTGTGCGGGGATCAGTCAGGAAGTAACCACAGATTCTTCTCTAAATCAACTACATGAGTTGCGAGGAAAGAACTACAACAAACTCGAACCATTTTGGTGCATAAAGAGACAAGACAATCTGCTGGAGATTCTCCTGCGCAGCATTGCGCAGAAAATGGGAATTCCTCAAGCACGAAAAACGTGAAAGGGACCCCTTACCCTATCCCTGAGCGTTGCCAAGGGTGTCCCTTTTTTCTATGAAGCTCCCATCCGGGCTGCTGTTGGTGCCCTCTGGCTAGGGCTGCGGCAAGCTTTCCGGACTTGCTTGACGACAGCAAGCTGGATCCAATTCCAGAAGACAAGCCACCTGCTTCAAGATACAATTCAATATTTTTTCGAGGCAGTGTTAGTATCGCTGCCTCTACAAACCACCTTGGTGATCCTCACACATCATGCCTGCACGCATCATCCAACTGAATCTGAGTGAACTCTCAGTACCTGCGGGACAGCAGTGTCGGTTGATATTCCTGTCATGTGCAGGACTGCATCAGTGCTGTTGTTAGTCTGTTAGTCATATGCATACTTCCTGAGCTTTTGCGCCGGCAGCCTGCCGCAGAGCTGGGGCTGCTGGGCATGAACCTTGGAAGCGCGAAATCCACATGCAACGCCTGAAGCAAGTGCCTGCTGATTGGTTGGTTCTGAGATTAGTCAGAAAAGGAAGCGGAGTACACTTGAAGAGATGATGACAATTTCAAGTCAAGAGCAGCAAAAGGTTTTTGCGAAAGGCTTCGTTGCGAAAGGCTTCGTCGCACGTCGCAAGGACATATATAATCAATATAATCTGAGAATCAACAGCAATCTGTTGGTACCAAGCTGAAGACATCAGCGTCTGTCATTTCCTGACAACTGCAAACACCTCATAATCAGTGACAACCGCTCGCCGGGCCTCTGCAAGGTAGGTGAGGTTACCCTGCGGGCTGGCACTTTGGTACGTGTGGCCGATGTTGAAGGTCACCTTGGCCGCGGCACCTTCTGGGTGGATGCGAATGTCATGCCCCCCTCCAAAAGTTGCTGCGTGGCCGGCGTGGCAATAGATGCCATGCGGGTGACTTTGGAAGATCCCGTGCTTGGAAGGCTGGATGTTTCCGGGCCCTGCCAGGCGGAAGAGGAACGCCTCCTGACTGTCCTTCCACTCGCTGCTGCTGTCCCAGGAAGTCTCCGTGTATCCTCCGAAGAGGTGGCCTCCGGCACTCTTCGCCACCACCACGGTGGGGCCTTGGGCATCGCACTTCTGGTGGAAGGCCTGCGTGCTGTAGCCGTCCCGCGACGCGCGGAACAGGAGGTTCAGAGATACTTCCGTGCCAGAGCCTGGCATCGACTCCTGCAGCATCGCGAGTAGCGCCTCTCCATGAGCATCGAGCAACTCGGAGTCCAGGTTGTTTTTGAGCAGCGCCTGCAGGTTGAAGTACTTCAGCAGCCGCTTCCAGGGCCCTGCCTTCTCTGCTGGAAGTTTCGGAGAGAAAGTGCTTCCCAGAAGTCTTCCAAGCCTGAGGTGCAGCAGAATCACTTGAAACAGCTCGCTGTCCTCATCAAAGAACACCCGTCCCTCAACCATCTCATCGCTTTGCAATGTCCAGCTACCTTCAAACTTCTTTGCCAGCGTGGAGTCGTTAAGGAATGTCAATGTTGGCTGCAGCGTCTCCATGAGTTTCCCGCCGACATTCAAGCAAATGATGTCAGCAGGCGTACCCATGAACCGACTCAGAAACTGCGCTTGCTCGTCTACGGACTTTCTGGAGATGCGTACGCTTGCTGTCTCATGACAGAGTTGATTTCCCTTCTCTAAAGCTGCATTGAGGACCCCCAGGGCTTTGCTAAGGAGACCCTGCTCTGACGGCTGCAGCCGCGATTTCAACTCCTCTGCATGGGCCTGAAGGCTCTGAGCCGCTGCTCCAAGGTCCATGTAGCTGGTCAGTGCAAACACTTCGTAATCTGTGACAACTGCTTGCTGGGCCTCGGCAAGGTGGGTGAAGTTGCCCTGCGGGCTGGCGCTTTGGTACGTGTTGCCGATGCTAAAGGCCACCTTGCCTGCAGCACCTTCTGAGTAGATGCGCATGTCATGCCCCGACCCCAAAGCCGCTGCGTAGCCAGCGTGGCAATAGATGCCATTCTGATGGCTTTGGAAGATCGCGTGCTTCGAAGGCTGCATGTTTCCGGGCCCTGCCAGGCGGAAAAGGAACGCCTCCCGACAGTTCTTCCAGTTGCTGTTGCTGTCCCAGGAAGTCTCCGTGTATCCTCCGAAGAGGTGGCCTCCGGCACTCTTCGCCACCACCACTGTGGGGCCTTGCTGATCGCACTTCTGGTGGAAGGCCTGCGTGCTGTAGCCGTCCCGCGAAGCACGGAACAGCAGCTTGAAACAAGGCTTCCCTGCAATGCCAGGCGTTTCCTTCAGTCAAGTGCGTAGCTGCCGCGCTTGCGCAACGGAAACCAACAAGCTGTCTTTCAGTTCCTCAGCTGGCTGGGAAGAGCCCGACGAGTCGCTCACTTGTGGGATCGTAGAGTCCGAGATCTGGTGCTCGGCGTCGAACCCATCACGATCGCATAAGTAGCTACAAAGGGCCACAAAACCAGCGCGGTGACTCAGAGGCAGTGACATCACTGGAGGCGCTGGAGCCGACGTGCCGGGCTCAACACGTTTCACGTCAACCAACCATGCCAGCAAGGCTCTGAATTGGATTGGATCTACATCCAAAAACACCCGGCCTTCTCATCCCTTCGCAGGGCACTGTCCCAGCATCCAGAAAAGAGTTGAGCCAAACGAGAGCCCGGCACTGCTGTGAGAGTGTCACGCCTTGTAGTGAAGCCAGTATCGCCGCCCACGTTCAGCCGAATGGTATCAGAGAAGGATGGATTCGGGAAGTCTTTGTCCTTGGCACCCTTCTTGGGAAGCTTCTGGACTAAATCCTCCTCCAACTGCCGGCGCTTCTTTTGCAGGCGCTTCTCCTCGGCATCTAGGTGCTCATTCAGAGCCAGAGTAGCTTCTTCAAGTTGCCATTGCGTTGTGGCGGAGTCAGTAGCCATGGCACCCCCACTTTACCAGCATCAATTTCGGAGCCAAAGAGGGTTGAGGGTCCGAAGCTGCAATATCGTGTGTAGCACTTCTCTACTTAGAGTCAGCGGGTCATGCATGCGATGCAACACTGCAATGCCTCTGCTACCGTTGTCCGTGGCAAAATTCATGCCAGCTGTTAGGCATGTCATGTGACAACATGACCCAAAACTCCGGTGTAGAACCTCCCCAAGACAACCCCCCTGTTTATTCCGCGATACAGCTGGTAGTTTCTCAAAACGGGGGTACCGCAATGTAGACACCCAAATGCTATAGCCCTGATTATGGGGACAGCCACAAAAGTATCCCTAATTGTGTGTGAAACCTTAACCCTAAACTCTATATATCAAACCCTATATAACCCCTATAACCTCCTTAAAGGGACCCGAAATCTTGGGAAACCCGCTCTGCTACCCATCCACAGATCTGCCCAGCCGGGCTGCGGAGGCGCTGAGATCAACATTTGGGGGACATCTCGGCTTCAGGGAGTAGACTTCAGGGAATGAGGGTTGGGCTTAGGGTCTAGGATCTAAGGTTTAGCATGTAGGGTCTGGGGTTTAAAGTTTAAAGTTCGGTGGCTAGGACTCTGGGACGGCTCAGAGATGAAGACTTACGGATGAAGATTGAGGGACATGGTAGTTTCTCTAAATAGGGGAACCCCAATATAGACCCCCAAAAAGACTACAATCCTTATTTGGGGAACCCACAAAACAGTACCCATAAATTTAGGAAATTCCCATATTAGAGATAATCTAAACTCCTAGTATCCTCCTTTGTAAGCCCATAATAGTCCCCTATGCAATCTGCTATATAGCCCCCCTGCAATAAAGGCCCGGAAACGCTAAATCCAACACCCCAAACCCTAAGCCCTAAACCTTATACAATGCCCTGTGTAGCCCCCTTGAGCATTTTGATTATAGCCCATATGGGCTTAGCGATTCAAGGCAGGCTCAGGCAGCCACCCACTCCCGCTGCTTGCCTCAGGCGAGCTTTGAAGATCCTGGCGCAGAGCAAACTGAACACCCCAAAAGCAGGTGCATCTATATGAGCTATAGTCTAATGTAGTCCCTAGGAGGTTATAAAGGCATTAGGGTTTAGGGTATGTCAGCCATAATCTAAACTCCTTAAAGGGGGTTTTATAGGGGATTATATAGGGGAGTATTCTAGGGATTATGAAGGAGGATCTAGGAGTTTAGACTAGAGAGGGGACTGTTGTGAGGCGGCGTTTTTTTGATGGTTTAGTGAAAGTGATGCAGTCGCTCAGACAAAGTTGATGCTGTTGAAATCATAACACATGCTTGTGAACCAAGCCTTGAAAGAGCTCAAGACATATTTTATTGGTAATGGCATAGAAGACAGTAAGGCTATTGTTACATGGTGGACTGCACTTTACTTAGTGTACAGGAAGGACATCAAGATCACCAGATGGTTATTGCGATCTGAAGTATACAATAAATTTATGCCTCATGGAATAACCCCGATAATGTGCTACATATTTGTATACTTTGCTGAATACCCTATAGCTTCTAGAATACCTTCCATAGAATACCTTCTAGAATACCACCTGTCTATAACTTATAAGATACCCTATAGAATAGCCAATAGAATACCCAATAGAATACCCTATAGAATACCATANNTAGAATACCTTATAGGATACCTTTCCTAAGACCCCTATACACCTTATGATACCCCCTATATATTTCATATATGTATACATATATATCCTATCGGATACCCTATAGAGTATCCTATAGGTACCTTATAGAATACCCTATAGAATA